ACTATAAACAATTGACAAGCTGTCTGTGTCTGTGTGTGTGTGTGTGTGGCATCTGAGTGTGTGAGCCAACAAATTGTTCACAATTTTCACCAATTTACAATTTTATGATATTGCAAAAACGAAAAAAAATAAATACAAAAACTTCATTAAAGCAACTATTGCAGGCAAAGAAAAATTTATGTAGGCAATTTAAATACACAAGCAAAAAAAAAACCACAAAAATATAACCAAAATAAATAGCAAAATAATAAAGGAAGGTGTAAAGACTTAAAGGCTGTAAGCAAGCCGACAGCCAAACACCAAGCACAACAACAACAACAGCAGCAATCACAACAACAACTAATCGAACTGGTCATCAATTGGCCAAAGCCTGGTAATGGTCGCCCAGCGCGGCACAGGCGGCCCCGATACGGCCCAGGCCAGGCCAGGCGAGGCCAGGCCAGACCAGACCAGACCTGAGCAGCCGATCGATCGCAACGACAACGTCGAAGTCACCTCCAAAGCAGCAGAAGCAGCCGCAGCAGCAGCAGCAACGGTCAAACACAACGACGATCGATCTTAACAGTCGCCGTCGCTGCGTTAGATGATGCAGCAGGCAGAGACTGTGGCAGAGACAGAGTCCAGACCCCGTCACATGGCCAGGCAATGGCCAAAGTGGGTGATGGGACACACATACGCATGCAGCATGGCAGCACAGTGGCACCAGAGCCTCAAATAATGGCATATAACTAAAGCCTACTCGCATATGTAAGTGCAAGCTATGTGTATGTATTAGTGTGTTGAACAAGTATTAGTGAGCTTTTGAAATTGCCACGCAATGCGAAGCTTTTGTGCGTAGCTTTTGTGCCTGTGTTTAATGTAAGTGCATTAAAAGCTTTAAACGCTTTTTCAGCTTTGGAGAATTTAACATAATTTAAGATTAATATTAACGTGTTTTCAAAATAACTTGTTTTATATATTTAAAAAGCAGTTGTTTTAAGTCAATGAACGTAAATTTTCATACAAAACTTGAAGTGCAGATAAGCTTTAAGCGAGTCGGCATTTCAAGAGTATAGCATACTTTTGGGCGCATCAAATTAAACTAGAATGAGCAAATAGTTAATTATAATAAATGTATATTTATTATTTTCAATAATTAACTTTTCTCGTTCCAGTTAAATTTGATATACCTAAGAGTATTTTATAATATATCATTTAAAGCTTTGCCTAGTTTATAAGGCAATATGCAAAAATAGTTATACAAGTTTATAATCCATGCTAGAAAGTTAATTATATATTTAATAAATTTCTTAATAAAATTATGGATAATTTTGGAGATATAGATCAAAGTGTCTACAAATAGAGCATGCACATAAATAAACAAATAATAATAATAATAAGAATATTAATATTTCCTTTTAAAGAAGCAATTGACAAAACAATTGCTTATTGCATTACATTAATTCTTCCCTTAACAACTTATATGCAGAGCTTTAACTCGAATTTCTATTGAAATAAATATTCACATTTTTAATTCATTTTAATTTGAGCCTCAGCCCACTGTAACTGACGGCATTCGATCTGCACCGCCCTGACCCACCAGCCAGGCAGCAGCATGTGAACGCCAAAGCACTCACAGGCGAGAGCCAAGCGATGCGGCTCCCACTTCCCCACCCCACGCACCCGCAACCCCTGCAACGAATGCCCAATGGGTTGGAACCATACGGCCCCATGACCGTATGGGGCAAGTCAACGGGCGGCCGATTCACCTGTCGCGGATTTTGTTTGCTTTACGCAGCGAGTCAGCAGATGCAAATGGGTGGAGCAGCAGGCAGATAAAAGAGCATGTTGGTGGGGTTGGGGAGACGGCGAGAGGAGCAGAGACGGCGACCTGGTCGCTGCTTTATGCGAATTCCATGAATTTGATCATTTTGGTGGAAGCGCATTAGATATTTGGCATCTTGGCGTGCAGTCGCCGACAACAGCAACAAGAACAACAACAACAACAACAACAACAGCAACAACAGAAACAACAGCAACAGTTGCTCATGTGACGGACGTACAATGCAGAAAGCTTAAACATTAAATGCGGCTGTTGTTGCTGCTGCTGCTGCTGCTTTGGCAGAGGTCAGCGCACACACGTGACCCATGTGGCTGTGTGTGCTGCATGATCGATGGAATTGCCACAGCAAAGCCTAGAAATAAAATGGATTATAATTATTATGCTGTGTGTGCAGCATAGAGCACAGTTCGAGGCCAGCAGGCAGTCAGGCGGAATGGCAGAAGGCAAACACTTGGCTCACTTTTATTGTCAACCAATAAAATAACCAAAGACGACGGGCTTACAACTTGCATGGAATTGATTTGGCCCGCAGCGTCTATTAACAGCAACAAAGCAGCGACAAAAAAAATTTTAAAACCGAAAAACTAAACCCTGAAGACGATGATACAGCAGGCAGTTGAGGATGATGATGTTGAGACAACGGCGGGCCAGACGCTCCGACGGCCAGCAGCAGCAAAAGCTAAACAGTTGACATCAGGTGCTAGTTTATACAGTACAACATGGATATATGAGCTAACATAGGACATCAGAAATGAGAAAGGCTCAAAGGAATTCGAATAGATAGGATAGAAAACTTGTTAATAGCAAGAGCTCATAGAAAGAATGTAGATATTAAAATTAGATTTTAGATTTAAATTGTAAAGTTCAAGTTCAAAAGCAAAATTAATATGCTTAATATCAAATTCCAAAGAAAAATCTTTATATACAGATTGGGGGCCAGATCTGGGACTTCGAAGTCCAAATTAAGTAGAAAATTTCTCCAGCTCAACAAACACGCAACTAACTTTACAATGTTGTTATTTCACCTTCTTTTCATCGATTTCAATAATTAATAATAAATGCAATTAAGAAATCGGTCAAATTTCGCGATCTTTCAAATCAAACGATTTATAGTTGCAAATTTATGTCTCATTTTGTTGTTATTCCATTTCGAGGGATCAAAGTTATACACACATTTTTTCAATATTTTGTTATAGTTTTTAGTTAATACCAGCATTATCAGATATAAGCAGATGTTTCGATTTCCACATTTGCGGGTGGAATTACTTAAAACCACCCAGGGCATACTCATATTCTATTAAGAATATAATCACAATATTGAATGTGATTAATAAAAGCTTATTAAACTGCATTTATTTATTAAAATGATTATTAAATTATTAGTAGAAAAAAATGCTGCATTTATAGGATTTTTTGGCCAAGCAAGGTTAGCAATAGAGTTGTTTGACTGTACTTAAATAAATTCCTGCAAGCATTTTTGTGGGCTAAAAGACACAACAGCGCCTTACAGCAACAACAACAACTGCAACAAAAACAACAACAACAACAACAACAACAACGTGGCATGTAACAACATAAACAACCGAATACTATTTGGCCTTTTGCACCTTTTTGGCATGGCACAACTTTGGCAGGCAGTCAGACCCAGGCAGCGCGCGCAATGAGCTTGGAGCATTGGATGAGCTGCGGTAGCCCCAAGATCTTTATTTCGGATCGAAGGATGGCATCCAGGCAGCGGCGGACGGCGACGACGACAACGCCCCGAAAGGCACAATTAAAATTTCACGCTCTTGCGGCTAGCTGCTGCCCCAAAAGGGGACAAGCCGACTTAGCCGCCAAAACACGTTGACCATTTACGGATTTGGTATTGCAGACAGTGCCACAGGCCATAGCCTGCCGAAAATGTGTGGCGGCATTTGCGCCTTTGAGGCAAGTAGAGGGAGCCAGATACTGTTGCCGGCCAGCATTTGCACCCGGCCGGCTGCAGAGTGCCACGCGTGCAATTTGCTGCCGCCGCCAGGGAATACAAACGGCCGCTTCACTGGCGGCCAATTGGTAACACAAGTGTTAATGAGCAGCGAACGCGTGCTAATTACCAATGCCGGTTGCAACAGTTGCAACAGTTGCAAATGGCAGCCAGCAACAGCAACAACAGCAGCAGCAGCAACAACTCAAAATGTCAAGCGCAAGCCTGTGGCCAACTGTTGGCATAACAATTAAATTATATGCACAACTTCGCACAACTTATCGATAACAATCGATTGCTATTATTTGTCGCCATTAAAACCGATAGGCAGGACGTTAAGGACCACTTATATAGACAAGCTGACTTAATAAATATATATAACAGCTTGATCGTTACAGTGTGCATTACTTTATATATTTTACATTGCAAATATAAAATTTTAAAAATTCTATATTTTTAAAGCTGGAGCTAGCTGTTCTAGAAACAATGGCATATGTTATCGAGCTCTACGAACTTTTAGTTAACATGATATATTTAAGTTAACTAAATGACAGCTCTTGTTTTAAGTGTCAATTCAAGATTGCTTCATGGAAATCTCTTTTCTTTAATCTTTCAAAATATTTGAATTTTAACTAAATATAGCAAAAACTAAAACCCAAAACGGCATTCTAGCCAGACTGTTGGGAAAACTACATTGTTTACATTTGGCCAGCAGCACCGGCAATGAAGCTACTATTTACAACAGTCTGGCCACACAACCTGAAAATCAGCATTCGACAACACTGAACCAGGGCTGTTCGCTATAAACAAAGCGCGCTAGCTGCTGCACTGGCGTTGCCACCACGGCTAACTAATATAAAAGTTGCCTACAGTTGGACGCCGCTGCGTATACGTATGAATTAGAAAAATTAAATAATGTTGCGTAGACGTCGCCGGTACACATTAAATGTATACTTATTAATTGGCTCACATATAATTAAATCGCAGCCGCAGTCGGCATCTGTGGCCACAACTACGCATTTGTTAACATTTATTTACCAACCTATATTTGTATACAAAACAAAAAACGCGAATGAACGCCAGCTCGCGCTCTCTCTCGCTCTCCCTCTCTCTCTCTCTCTCACGCTGATCACTTCGCGTCAGCGCTCACGCTTGTTTTGCGAATCTGCTTGAACCGACCTGTTAGTTCTATTTGAGCCGTCGACCAGAGCGGACGTGTGTTCGCAGCAAAAGAAAAAAAAAGTTAAATACTTCAGTTGTAAACAAAGCGCTTGGTTTTTTATGCACGCTGTTTAGAAAATCAAAGACCATAAAAAAAAAAGAATAATTCACATTTTGGTTCTTCACATTGCAATAAAAAGTGCAAATTCTTGCCATTAAAATGGACAAACATAAACTAATTGACAATGTGATTTAAATTGTATACGAAAACGATAATAATAATAAAAAAAAAAACACAACAAATACAAATTAAAAGTGTGCAAATCAACGTCTATCAGAAAGAGGTAGGTAAAATCCAACCGATCTGCGCGTAGGTCTCGATTGCCCCAATTTCGACGGCCCGCTAAACATGTGTGTATGTACATTTATTTATTAACTATATACATAAATCTGAAATTTGTGAGCATAAAATTTAATTGTGCTTTGCGGCATTTTTTGCCATTTGTTTGTTTTGCTGCCACGATCCACAAGCCAAGACGTCATTTCTTCAACCTGCCACAGACAACTGTCCCCTGCCTCCCTCCCGCCTCCTGCCGCTCCCTCCCTCCCTCTCTCCTGTTCGAGTATCTTTTGTTTGTTGAACCCCAAAAAAAAAAACTATACCAAAACAATATCCATGTTTGCCAAATTTACGCTCTTTGATTGCAAAATTGTTGTTGTAGCTTCTGTTTTTTTTTTTTTTTGTTTTGCTGCGCAGCTTTTTTTTACATAAGCTTGAACAAGTTGGGCAGAAAGTGTTTGCGAACTGAATTTAAGTGTCTGAGAATTTACAGCGCAATTATCCAAAAACTTTTCAAAGTTATTAATTACACAACTGAGCACATTTTGCTTTAGTTAAAACGGCAAGTTTTTCTGCCTCTAAAAGAATAGCTTAAATAGTTTGTTCGCAAAAAAATAATAAAATAAAAGCAATATAAATATTTTACTTGACTCTTAAAAATTTCCAGTTGTTCATCAATTATCAAGTGTGATATAATTGCAAAGCATAAAAATGCACAGTAAAAATGCCTAAATGTGCATTATAATCAAGTTAATAATACAAGCAGCTAATTAAATTTAGTTAACCGAATTTAAGACGAACTAGCACAACTGCAGTGTATGCAAAACTTCGGTGTGCATTACGTTTGCTGTCTTTTAATTTATTTCTTTCTTTCGTTTTTTTTTTGGTTTAATTCTTGTTTGTATATTTTTACACTTGCGCAGCACAGTTGCTGTCGTGTTGTTGTTGTTGTGTGTGTCTCTTCATAATTTTGTATTATATGTCGATTCGACAAAAATGATAACTTATCACGGTTACTATAACATATGCCAAACTGATTGGCTTGATAAGTCCAACAGCAACTACCAACACACAGATACCACATACACGGACACAAAAACAACGTGAAACCGAAACCAAACACCCAACAAATCAGCAAAATGGCAACCACAAAATACCCTGTAAAATAAGATGAAATTGTGCAACTAAATACCCTGTAATATGAAATATTGCAAACTAACTTGTAGAATAAATAAAGCAAAGTTGTAATAGAAATAGTTATAAAAATTTAAAAATTATTTAATAATAACTAACTGAAATTTTGTTAAATAATATGAAGCGAAGTTGCTTATCACAAATATGAATAAATATAAATATTCAAAAAATATTAAGCGCACATAAGTTTATCTTTTTGTTGCAATTGTTTAAGCATTGTGCTTTGCCAGACACATTCAATAATACTTGCAACTAAAACACCTCATAACGTTCTGATTATAGGGTATTTGGGCAAACACTTCGCAGACACACTGCGTAAAAAAATGAAAGAAAAAAAGACACTTTAATATGGAATGCAATTGATTGCAACAAGAAATAGCCCCCAATCACATGTAACTGGTCTGTCAGGCTTAAGTCCCACTCAGGCCCCCCTGTCACGCCCCCCCCCCCCCCCCCCCCTCCTGTAATGCACCATGAAGCGAAACTGGCAGGCAAATAATTGAAATTCACACGACATTTGGCAATTACAAGTTTGTATCCTTTTCACTTTGCAGTTTGGCGCTTTCAGGATCTCATCAATACAGATTTAGCCAAACATTCAATGGTACAGACAATATATACTAGCATAAATATGCGTTCGACAAGCTGTTTTGTTTTAATTGGAATTTGGTTCTTTTGGCTACCAGCGCAGACGAACGGATTGTCAGGTGAGTTTCGAGTAAATACTCATGCATATGCATGTGCTACGGCTAAGATGCGCATTAACTCATGCGGATTTATATAAATAGATAAGAGCCAAAGAAAATTGGCTATAAAAAAAAAAGTAAATAAATAAAACAAACAACATTTCAATAAAGAAATGAACTCATTTACAAACTCATCAACTGACTCATCATCGATGCTTAATGATCTTTTGTGATGCTGCTGCTGCTGCTGCTGGGCGAATTTTTTTGTATATTATTTATTGTAGACTTTTTTTATGGGTTTTATAGCGCCCAAAGCAATCTGCCAATTCGGTATATTTGCGACCTTATTACGCGCTACAGATTCTCGAAATTCCGTTTTGAAAAATATCAGAAAAAAAACACACACAGCATAACACGTCACATGGGGCAGTCTTTCCCATAATACTTTTTATGACGTCAAGAACTAAATACCAAACTGATTCGGTTCAATAATGAATAGGTGGCATATATATCTATATATAGGCTATAGAGATCGACTCCCCTCACACACACACACACACACACACACACACACACTCGCACACCCACTGTTGTCATTGGCTTGTTTTTGTTTATATTTTGGTTTTGGTTTGGTTTTTTTTTTCGTTTTTCTTCTACAAACACATGTTTTTGTTTTTGGTTTTTTGTATATTTTTGTTGTATTTGTGTGTTGAGGTTTTTGTTTTTGTGGCTTTTTAAAACAATTTCATTGATAATTTAGATAGCGTGCGTTGTTGGTTTATTTGTTTCTGTTTTTATTTCATTTTTGTTTAACTTTGCTGGGCATGCCCCAACACGATCCAATTTGTTTATTTGTACTCCATACGAGAGTTGCCCTTGAGGTAGATAAAGTGAGGGCTGCGGGGAGCGGTTTTTACCTCTTACGTGCCGCCTGCCATGGGATGGTGCCCACAGTGTTAACCCAATTTGTTTAACAACTAAGACAGACCCACAAAACAAGACTTGCGCAATTTAAAAATTGCATAAATTGATATATACTTTAGGCAAAAAAACATTAGGTGAAGCAGCTGAAAGATCTGTTTGGTTAGACAAACAAAGCCCAATCGAATCAGTATAGCATTATATCTAGCTTGTCAAACTATATCAGGGGAACCATTTTAAAACTATGCCAAACTAAAGCGAGACACTTAACTAGAGCATGAGCGAGACCAACACCAAAAACATACAAAACAAACATCAACTAAATATGCACAACTTTCACCCAGGCTAAAATCAATAAATGATAAAGGGGCAAATGACTTCCGCAAATGGAGCATTCGCCAGGGAATACAACACCAAAAATAAAAAGTGAAGGAAAAAAGAAAGCAATCAATAGAGACCCGAGTCCACCGACTAGGTAAGCACTCGGGATATGCCAAGGCCAGTAAAAAAAACAAAAACAATTTGCATAACCAACCACCAAAAACTTTCATTTACGGGGGGTGTATGATATAATACTAGACCCTGGCTTGGCCCCAGCCTGCGGCTAAACGTACTTCCAACTTCAACCAAAATTGTGGACAGTTGACAATTTACATAGAGTAAACGGCTAAAGTCAGAGCCAAATTAGCTGACTCAAAGCTGACGTTAAAGAGCGAGCAAATGGTTTTTTGCGACTCTAACAAGGTCAACAAAATCTAAAAAAAAAAAAAAGAAGCAAATAGAAGAAGAAGAAAAGCCGTGGTAATGTGACAGCTAAAGCGAGTTATATATAGTTTACAAAAGTCTGACAAATCAGACAAACACCGAAGCCGCATTCCAAAAATAATTCATAGCCAAAAGCGAAAGGTCTCTAATGAAAAGAGTCGGCAATGCTCGACTAGGAGATACTCTAAACTTAGCGTCGATCTGCCGTTACAAATTTTTTGGTTTATTTCTGTGCATACACAGATACACACACGCACACCTTCATAATGCTTTCTTGTGTAGACTCGATGCTTATTGTTCGATCTTTAGTATATTTCTTCCTCCCTTCTATGTTTTCCTAAGTAAAATCGGTGATTATGGTCTGATCTTTATTTAATATACAGCTGCAGATAATATACCAATAAAGATTCTTATCGATTCCTTATAAACAGACAGGCAGACATGGTTCTATCGACCCGTATTTTGTTACTCATGAAGAGTATATACACTTTATGAGTTCAAAGATTTCTGCATGGAGTGTGTGTCACACATTTCACGACAAAACTCCAATACACTATACAAGCGGATAAGAGCCTACAGTGACAGTGTCAAGTGGCAAATCTTTAATAATATTGTAGCCCAGCAGATGATAACGAGTAAAAGGCGCTCTAGATTGAAGCACAGCTGGTTGCCACAACGGCGAAGGTATGTCGCAGCCGACACCCCTGAAGCAGCAGACGCCACAGTAGCATGAGGCCATAGCTGCCGGAGCAGAGTGAACCCCGTGTGTCCGAGCTGCTGTTTCGAGTACTCTTTGCTTTTTCCTCTACACAAAATCACATGTTTCAGGCCATAAAAACGAACAGTCTGGAGCCCACGCGTATTATTTTTGTTTTATAAACTGAAAAGTGTCGATAAATATATGTACAGCAAAAGTATTTATGGGTCATAGTTTGAGTACTCGATTGACGTTCGCTGCAGCTCGCTGAGTGTGCGGAATTATGCCAAATAATAGGTACCTTTGGCATGCCAAGTTTTTATTACCTTACCTTAAAACCAGATTGCTTGATTAGCTAAAGCTCACCTGAAGGGAAGACGATGTAGGGTGATGATTCGCCTCGTTGGTAGGTCGCGGGGGTGTAAGCTTTTGGAGGCAACTCTCTGCCAGAAACCTGGCTCAACTAATCGAACTTAAATAAATACTAATCATTCCTACACTAACTAACTTTCCGATTGTAATGGGATTTATTTATACAAAATGTTGCGCTCCAAATTGGTAATTACCAGATCTTTACTCACTTTCCCAACGATCGGGTTGTAGATAGTGCTGCGATGTTTGCATAGCGCAAGAGTTCAATTTTCAAACGATATTTTCAATGACAACTATATAAGATAGCGTTGCGCTTCAGCCGACTTTGATACATGTGCTATGTAGCTTAAATATAAATAAATCTATATCAAGTTACGATAGCTTCACATATGGAAGACAAGTTTGTTTAAAAACAGGCGGACAGAGGGGCAGAGGCAAGCGGATGTGTACATATGAACCAAACTTGTTCCACGGATCAAATAAGTATATATGCACTTATTTTACCTACAGACATACATATATAAAAAAAAAATGCCCACTGCACAAGTCTGGAACAGAAAAAAATAGCTGATGCAACAAATGCAAAAAGCCAAAAAAGAGCGAAATAAAATTGAAACAAAAGCAAAAAAAAAAAGAAACACGCGTCCAACGCACGTGATAAGCGGCAAAGGTAACAAAAATGTAGCTGAACTGAGAATTATTTGGCGTAAAATATTGTATTAAAATATCTAGCCAATCTTATTTGCTTATATACAGGCACATCTGCCCTGTGTGTGTGTGTCGCTGCTGATATAACACATTGGAATTTATTAGCTAAACATTTTCTTTTGCAAAACAAAGCAGCGAAAAAATTCCCAACTATGTTATTTGTCGCCGTAACGCCAACAAACCAAACAACAACAAAAACCTTCAGCCAAACCACCCACCACCCGGCCACAGCCCGTGCTAACCGTGACTTTAAGATAATTCAGATAAAAAGCGTCTAAACAACATTCCACAATAATATAATTTCGGTTGGTTATAAATAAAAGCAGCTAAACGTTGCCTTGATAGGAGCCATGCCGCCTTCCAGGGCAAGCTATTTGATCTTGTGCATTTTTTTTTTTTGATACGCCGAGCAACTGCATGAGTTTTGTGATGTCTGAAATGCGTCATTGACAGCTTCAGATAAGCATAATGTGCAGAAGGAATGACCACACAACATTCTCTACATTTCACTTCCTCATTCCAAATCTGTATACATACATATATGTATAGACATTTACATATGTACATTTGCGCTTTTTTATATACTTAGTAGCTACACTGTAATAATACAAACTCGCCGGCAATAATTTTAACCCACTTTTGTTTTTTAACACAATCAGCACGAGACTTTGTTTTGCGGTAAAGATAATTTAGATAATAAGCATCTAAACAGCATTCCAGTGCCTCAAAGAAAACAAAAGGCATTTATATCTGTGGCTTATGAAAACAAATAGCTACACAGTGCAAAAAAAAAAGTTGGTTAAAAATACAAAGCTGTGTGTGTTCGTATTGCGAATTTCTTTTTGGGAAGTCGTACTTTGAGCCTCAACTTTATTGCTAGAGAGACAGAGAGAGGGTGGGAAAGAAAGAAAGATAGAAAGAGAAAGAGAGAGGGGGAGAGAAAGAGGGAGGAAGGCGAGATATAAAGAGAAAAGAGAGAGTCAGAAGGAGAGAGATAAGAGAGAGAGAAAGAAAGTGAGAGGGCGAAATTGAGAGAGAGGGAGGAAAGAATGCGTCTGTGTGAGAGAGAGAGAGAGAGAGAGAGAGAGTTAAAAAGAATGAGAGAAAGACAGAGAGAGAGAGTTAAAAAGAGTGAGAAAAAGAGAGAGGGAGAATGAATGTGTGTAAGGAAGAGATTTAAAAAGAATGAGAGAGAGAGAGAGAGAGTTCAAAAGAATGAGTCTCTCTCTCTCTCAGAGAAAATAGTGAGTCAGAGAGAGAGGGAGAGAGAGAGAGAGAGAGAGAGATAGTGAGAGAGAGAGTTAAAAAGAGTGAGTCAGACAGAGAGAGAGAGAGAGAGAGACAGAGAGAAAGAGAGAGAGTTCAAAGGAATGAGCAAGAGAGATAGAGAGAGAGAGAGAGAGAGAAAGAGTTAGAAAGAACGAGAGAAGAAAAAATGAAATTGAGATCTGGCACACATTAAATTTATTACAGAGAATATTTTAGCTCCAATTGTGGTTTCTCATTGAAAACAAAAATATATATATACATTTATATGAAATTGTACTGCAGAAAATCT